CACCTAATCGTAAAATGTGTGCTAAAATAGGCAAAGTCAAATATGTCTACAGTCACAGCGGTCTATTTCACCTTAAAACTTTTAATACGGACTTTAATTCAGTACAATTTGATGTTTTTTAAATAAACCACATTGAGCCACGAATCAAAGAAGTTTAGCTGACTTTTAACGAGGACGCCATTAACTAAACACTTTTGCTGTATTTAAATTTTAATTTTAGTAATAATCAATAAGCTTTTGAGTGCAGCAGAACATTTAATTGATATTTACTGAGTAATTGCCGGACATTGATAACATTGTAGCTTAACAGCTGATAATGTGATATTTTTAGTTATTGCCTTCTGAACTAGAAAAAGTATTGTCTTGTTCTTACTAATTTTAATATGTATTGACATTAATGGACCTTAACAGCCTCAGAATTCCACCCAAATTTTGTATCAGAAAAGCTTCTAGTTCTGTGCTAGCTTTGCTGGACACCTGTATATTTTCATTTCCCATTTTCAGATCTCACTCTTGATCCCTGATGGTGCCTCTGTTGAGGAAAAAATTGCAGGGAAAAGCAAAATAGCCCTCTTTACCCCAATTATAGTTAGAAGCGAAAATCCACTAATAACACATGATATCGAGCCTATTTCAGGAGCACAGAATTGGAAGACATAACTGAACTGTCTATCCTGGAACATTTCTCCTCGCCTCTGACTCTTTCAGCAACTTCAGGGACTATTTTACATTATAAGCAACTCATTTTTCCCTGGTATGGCTGTCCAGCTGGAAGAAGAAAGCAATATAAATCAATTAGCTTAAAATATGCAGAAATGACAATAATTGTAATTGCTGTGTAAGGCAGGAAAGGGGGAAGCTAAAATATGATGTAAAAGCTCAGCCTGTGCTTCTATTTCATCTTTAAAAATGCATGTATGTGCCTAAAATGTCATATTTCCATATTCGTGATAACTTTTTTTTTATATATATAATTCTTTATTTCTGTTGTTCGTGATAATTATATGTAGTTTGAACTTTTATTTTCCTATCTAAACCACTTACAACATGTGATATTTACAAGATAAAAGATATCCAACAAATTGAATTTACTTCTAAAAGTTTTATATTTGTTAACTTATCATCACTGGTTTTTCTATGGTTGATAAAGTACTTCTTCTATATGTTTAGTGATATTTATATATATATTAGAATATAATATGATTTTATTATAGAAGCATAGTAATAAAAGTAAAAATAGATTGCAGCAAAAAATTGGAATATATCGGAGCACTCAACAACACTTAGATCTGAAATGGGAAAAAAAGAAACCTAGTGCCTATCTTATAAAAACAATAATCAAATTATATAATATGATTCTAATTCTGCTACACACCTCGATGGATATCCACATCTCATAGCATAGTTATAATCAGTAAGAAGTGGAGCGATGTTAAGGTAAAAAAAAACATACCACATGCACAAATAGAAAACAAAATAGCAAAAATACTTATGTTCCCAGTAGATGGCAATCCCAAATTCAGGGTTATATAGTACATGTAAGAAAAAATTGAGAAATAGCAATAATGGTGCAAATCCATTGGAGGTAATTGACTGCATGTACAGTGATCAGAATATAGTCATATCCAATATAATAGCTGGTAAGCTTATCTTAAAATAACAATTTTATTCAGACATAAAACTAAATATAAAAATCTTGATAGAAGTGTAAATCAACTACCATGAAACAAAGTGCAAACAGGCTGCCGCTTACACGGTAAAGTGGTGAGTACTCACAACCACGCTCAATCACAATGGGGGTTACCCATGTGGATATAAAGTCTCTGCGGCTTCCGTCTGGTGGAGTTGCAACATTAGTTGCTCATGTGCCGTTCATTTTTCTCGGTCAAACTCAGCTTCGCCCACCTTTATGCGTATTGCATCACGTCTACATGTTTCGTCGTGAGAGGACGGCTTCGTCAGGACGTCTGATATTTTTTCAGCCCCCTCCCTTGAGCGCTATGAATGGCCAAAATTTCAGTTTCTGATTGGTGAAATCAGAAAGCTTAAGTTTGCATACTGCAATCTCTCTCAAGCCTCGTATTATTAGAAGTCCTGTTTTGGAGTGACACCGCTTTCATGGCACTATCACCACCATATACTCTCTAGACCCAGTGAGGTGCATTTTTAAATAAAACACATTCTTTTAAAAAACAAATATCAAATAACAGTTGTTAGTACAAGTGACAATTTTAGCATAGTTAGGACAAAACTTCATAGGTTATAATACACAATTAAACTCCAGATTGAAACCTGTTGATTCCATAGAGGAGAAAGATAAAATTAAATAAAAATAAAAATAAGTAAAAATAAATAAAAATAAAATGTTTCTCCTTCTACTAATATTGGCCATGATCTGGGCATTAGAGCAGTTAACCACTATTTGAATAATACATCCTACTATCCCAGTAATCAAATTCAATTTGTATTAGACTCCATTAGACTTATTCTAGAAAACAATTATTTTTGGTTTAATAATGAGTTTTATTTGCAGATATGCAGTACGGCGATGGGCACCAGGTTCGCTCCTAGCTACGCCAACCTTTTTATGGCCCATTGAGAAACCCACCATATGGGAGAGGCAGTGGCTGGGAAGCAAACCTGGTGCTCTATAAATGCTACATTGATGACCTGTTTTTTAATTTAGAGAGGGGGAGAATAACATTTAAAAACGTTTATCGAGTATATTAACACCAACGAATGGGCATCAATTTGACCTACTATTACAGTAACAGTGAGGTCAATTTTTTTAGTTTTGACTGTTTATGTGTAGGAAGGAACAATTGCTACTAAAACATTTTTTAAGTCTATCAATGTGAACAGCTACATAGAGACAAACAGCTGCCACTAGTCTTTGGCTTAAAAACATACCAAAGAGCCAATTAATTAGGATCAGAAGGAACTGTACCGATATGAGTATGTTCACCCAACAAAGTCAACAAATTATTAATGATTTCAGGGAGAAAGGATATAGTGACTTAATCTTGGAACAAGCTGTTGAGGAAGTTCAGCAATTAGGTAGGGAGATATTAATTGACTGTAAAGTTCATGATGGAAGGAATCAAGAGCAACAAATTCCATTTATTTGTCAATTTTCAGCAAATCAGAACAACAGAGTCAGAAGTATAATCTTTAAACATTGGCACTGACTATTGAAGGATTCTGTCCTATCGACAGTTTTAAGCCCCCATCTCGAGGATTGTACATAGGGGAGTTCAAACTATTAAAATAATTTTATCTGATACCATTCCCAATACTAATAAAAAATAATTCCAACTTTTTAAATCAATTGAAAGATTTTTTTAGGTGTGGTAATTGTAATGCCTGCCGGAATACATCAAGTAGAAAACTATGCATTAAAGAGTTTAAGGCAAATAGGAAGATGCACCAAATAAAAATAAAACGTATACCCTGCAATACAAAAGATGTGATATTCATGTTAACTTGCCGCTGCGGACTGAGATATATAGGCAGAACAACAAGACAACTTCGCACAAAGATATGTGAACATGTCTATAATATTAAGAGACAATACCTACAGCATCAAGTCTCTTTACATTTTAAAGAATGCCATAACTCAGACCCATCCTTACTATATTCTATAGGAATTCAGCAGGTTAAAAAGAATTGGAGAGACCTTATGCTGAGCGGACACATACCGTGTGAGCTCACGCCCGCCTTGACAATTTTTGGGGGATCCCCCCTCAACCAGCACCCCTCACACAACAAAACCACGCCAAAAATGGCAGCCTCAAAGACAAACAATCAGAATCAGCATACACCTCATGGCAGCATCGTGGAAACTGTCCTGCAGCGGCTAGACACAATATTTGAGGACTTTTGGCTAAAGTTACAGCAACGAATGCAGCCTTGTCTCCAGGAGCAGCAGAAAGAAACAAAGGGGAACCAGCGGACACGGCAGTGTGGGCCTTCTCTGAGAGACCTTAAAGCACAAGTCCACCTGGGCTGAGAGCTCTTTGAGGCGCTGCCTTTATGCATCTGGAATGCAAGCCGAGAAATGCCCGCCGCCCACGATGAACACTACCTTGAGCCCCAGTCTCCCCTGTGGGAGGGGAAGAGACTTTGCCACAGTGGGAACGCAAGACCATGGGCTAGTGCTACAGGCCCTCAGGCAGGCCCAGTGCCAGAGGAGCGCCCGACCACACAGAGCCTTACCGGATACCCACATGGACTATCCAACAGCCCTGTTCCGATATTGGCTATGGAGATCGGCAGACCCAGGCACCACCTGCCTGACCGGAATAGGATGAAACTCGGCATCATAGCAAACTGTCAGACCCCCAGAACTTAACTTGGCAACCTCTGACATGCAATTGGCCTATGTTTGTTTTAACCTAGTTATTGTTGCCTCCACTTTACAATGGGAGCGGTCCCAGTGGTCATATCGATGTCAGTTCAGCATGCTATACTCTTTATTTACTTTTATTTTCAGATCTTCACAGCAGACTTGGCATTTACTCTGCCAACACCTACTCGTGTCTTACTAGCCTGAAACACATGAGCATAGTATGTGCAGGTCAGTCTTGGCATATACAGCTTGAATGTTTATACAGTCTCTATAGGGCTTATCGACTAATGTAACGTAACACACCTAACACGCTAGATCGAATCATTATACCAACCTAACATGCTTCCTAGTGATGCATAAACATTCTCACTGACCAGCACAGCATATGCTAATTCTTTTCATTAACTTACACCCCTTGTATAGTCAGCATAACCAAAATCTCATCTCATGTCGCTTTGTCTCTCCGCTGACTACTTTTCCTTTCCTACTCATACAAATGGAAACACGCAGTTTAGCTACTATATTCTTAACATAAAATACCGTGCTGCTTACTCGGAATGAAATGTAATGTTATCCCTAATTGCTCCTGTTGTCTTACTCTCTGTTTCATTGTGTATTTAACATACACCTGCATTTGCTGTTGTGGCATTGTGGGTGGCACTGTGTACTCATGCACGACCAAAAATAAAGAATAAAAAAAAAAATGAACTGGAGAGGGGGTAATTTTATGCAGAATTTGTGATGAACATAGATCAGGTGGATATTCGAGTTGAATAAGCTCATTCCCAATGGGCTGAACAATGATTTTGAAATTTGCCATTTTTTAAATTAATATTTACTTACGTTATTAATATTTATAAGAATATTTTTAAGAAGACCTAAGAAGTTTTTTTAGATTTAGATTTTTTAGTATATATTTTATATTTATATATATATTTTTTAGTTATATTTTAGTATATTTTTTATACATAGATTTCTTTAGGTATTATTTTTAGCAGAATTGTGGCAAAACCATTGACCTATAGTATCCACCTCATGTCTCTATATATTTTATTGTGTAATAGCACTTTGTTACTATGGCACCTTTTAATATGTTACGCTGTTGTGCTGTTATATGCACTTCCTTTTGATGTTCATGCTGGTTGATAGGGTGATATACCTTTAAATCATTAGCAAATTGTTCTTTCTACAATGCATAATAATTAAGTATATTGTATGATCATTACTATGAACTCCTGTTGCAATATTCTAAAATTTTATTTAAATTTGTATTTATTTTTATTTCATTTTATCTTTCTCCTCTATGGAATCAACAGGTTTCAATCTGGAGTTTAATTAGTGTATTATTACCTATGATGTTTTGTCCTAACTATGCTAAAATTGTCACTTGTGCTAACATCTGTTAGCACATTTGTTTTTTAAAAGAATGTGTTTTATTTAAAAATGTGCCTCACCGTGTCTTGAGAGTATATGGTGGTGTTAGTGCCATGAAAGCAGTGTCACTCCAAAACACAGGAATTTCAATGATACAAGGCTTGAGTGAGATCGCAATATGCAAACTTAAGCTTTATGATTTCACCAGTCAGACACAGAAATTTTGTCCATTTATAGCCCTCACAGGAGAGGGACGAATTAGCATCAGACGTCCTGACGAAGCTGTCCTTGCATGGCGAAACGCGCAGACGTGACGCAATACGCATCTAGGTGGGTGGAGTTGAGTTTGACCGGGAAAGACAAATGGCACTCGAGTAGCTAATATCGCAACTCCACCAGACGGACGCTTCAGAGACTTCATATCCACATGGGTAACCCCCATTGTGATTAAGCGTGAGTAACGGGTACATGAAATTATTTTTCTTAACTCCACTTAAAAAAAGCCTAAGGGCGAAACACGTTGTGGTGTTTTATACAACAATATTGTTTTAAATAGAGGTATTTTGGCCACTTTCTTACTTTTACTTTTTTAATAGTTTTACTCTTTTAGTATGTTATTACTATTATTACTGTCCTTTTTATCTAGTACCAGAAGGTTTTACTTTCCAATGAGGATATTTATCCAAAGAATCCTAGGTGGGGATTATACCACTCAAGCTGTATCCATTGAGCAGTTAGCCTGCTCAATCAAATGTGAGTAACCACTTGGTATTTTATTTTCTCACCTTTGCCTTTTTATACTTTGAGCACTATTGCTGTCTATTTTTATTCCCCATATGGATCCTTAATCAAGAAAGACTGCAAAAACCTCATGTATCCCATAAGTGGGTGTAGCAGAGAGCTGGTCTTTCACAGGTTAACTCCACTAAAGATCCCAGTGAGGCTCAGGAACAAGTAATAAAATCCCATATAACAATAAGTACAGCAAGCAAGGTAATCCACAAATATCCCCATACAGATCCCAATGACTGGGAGATACACAGCATCAGGAGCAGAACTGAACTTTTAAACACTCAACCTTCTTTTAAAGCTTTCTCCCATGCAAGGGAGGGATTCACAGTAATTATTACAGTAGCCAATAGTATAACAGTTACCTCCCAGACATCTCCTCCCCTCAGTGTGACACATAATCCAATTAAACATACTGTAGTTTTCCCCGAGTTCTGGATGTACCCCAAAACAAGCAGCTAGAATAATATTTTGGATACCCCCTTGTAGCCCAGATCTGGGTGACTAACATATTCAAAATTCACCCAGATCGGACCAGCGGTTCGGGAGTTAGATGGAAGGTGAAATTTAACCGACCGCACACAAGGTGGTATCCGAAAAAGGCTTCATGTGTTTTGGCCCTGCGGTCGGTCTCCGTTCGGTAGCTAAAACATAGTTTAATCCTTGCCATCCACAGACAATCTTCTATTCATCTGTATTCCCTTGTTCAGTACATTTATTTTACCGAACGAGGGTCTGACTGGCACCTCTGTTCGGGAGTTATGGAGCTCTGGAGGTTTCAGCGGTGTTCGGGTGTTTGAGTGTCCGATTTGAGTTCCAGACACTCGACGACCAAACACCGTTGAGATTTTCTTGCGTAAGATGGCCGCCGCACGCAGTTCGTATGCCAAAAGGCGACCACACAGGTACATACAATATATCAATTTCACGGTCCATTAAGCTGCGGTTACAGAGTGTGAAAGCTTAACGAGGTGCACACTTCTCACTGGGGTGGTCTGATTGTTCGTAGTTTCATTCATATAAAAACTACCGAACAATCATACGAAAGCTACATACACTTACAATTATACAGGGAAACAATTACACGAATACATTTTTAATACGAATTTTCTGAGGACAGCCTTAATGCAATCCGCTACACTGCTCCCCCTTGCCCACAAGCCGGCATACACAGTCTGATGCAACACGGATCGGCTTGGGGATGTCCGGGGATGGTCACGGATTATTTCTCCAAGTCTGTTTGTCTCAACAACCCATCAGCATTTCCATTTTGTTTTCCCGGGCAGTACTGAATGTTAAAGTCAAAAGGCTGCAGCGCCAAACTCCAGCGCGGCAGCCTGGCATTGTCCCCAGCCACCCGGTTCAGCCATACTAACGGGTTGTGATCCGTGAGTAATGAAAAGGGCTGTCCATACAAGTACGATTGCAACTTCTTTAGGGCCCACACCACAGCCAGGCATTCTTTTTTGATGGCGGCTTAGCTTACTTCTCTGGGTAACAACTTGCGACTGATGTAAGCCACGGGATGCTCTCTGTCACCGGCCCCGACTTGGCTCAGCACTGCCCCAATCCAAACATAGAAGCGTCTGTGTGAACAAGAAAACGTTTAGTTGGATTGGGAGCTGCCAGGACCGGGACATTCATCAGTGCATTTTTCAGGTGTTGGAATGCCTGCTCACACTCCGGGGTCTAGGTTACTTGGCGGGGAAGGTTTTTACAGGTAGGGTCGGTAAGGGGTTTGGCCAGGGCACTATAATTGGGCGTAAACTTTCTATAGTACCCTACCATCCCTAGAAAGGCTAGTACCTGGGTCTTTGTCCTAGGGGTGGGCCATTGGGCGACGGCCTCTATTTTGGCTGGTTCCGGTTTCTGCTTCCCACCCAGGTATTGTACCTCGGCCATCCCTATACTACATTTGGCCAGTTTCAACATCAAACCGGCCTCTCTAATCCTGTCTAGAACCGCTCCTATATGGGCCAGGTGTTCCTGCCAGGTATTGCTGAAAATGGCAATATCATCCAGATATGCGCAGGTGTAGTCCTGAAACCTGTCTAGAAGTCGGTCCACCATCCGCTGGAAGGTAGCTGGAGCGTTTTTCATCCCAAACGGCATGACTTTAAAGTGGTACAGGCCGAATCGGGTGACAAAGGCTGACTTAGGGATGGCGTCCGGGGCCAAGGGAATCTGCCAATACCCCTTACACAGATCAATAGTGGTGAGGTATTGGCCTCTGGCCATCTGCGCATAGGATAGGCGCCTGACACTGTCTTTTCATTCAATCTCCGGTAGTCCACGCAGAAGCGGGTCGTACCGTCATGCTTTGGTACGAGGACTACTGGAGAGCTGCCTGAGGGTTCAATCACCCCCAGTTGAAGCATCTCATCGATCTCCTTGCGCATATTCTCCCGCACCGCTTCAAGGATGCGGTAAGGGATCTGGCGCATGGGTAGTTTCCCTGGGGTTTCCACCCGGTGAGTGGCCAGAGGAGCATATCCAGG